TGAAGTGTAAAGTTGATCGATGAAAGACTCAACTGTACACATTTAAGGTTCTTAACGCATACAAATGACTATTTCCCAGCTATAAATATGTTCACCCTAGGATCCTTGAACGCAAAAATTACAAAGAATCGATCGATCAACTTATGCACAGGGAGCAAGATCATCAAGGGTATATTCGACAAGAAGAGTAGCTTCCTCTTCTGAAAGATTTTTGACAAGAGAGATAAGGTCGGAGGTAGTAAGTGATTGCCAATTTTTGTTTATCCATTTATAGGCTTCAACTCGTAGTTCTTCATGTTGCTTGAAAACTGGACTCTGGATTTCAGAAATTACATTGCCGACCTCGAGGGAGTTAATAATTTGTTTGTGACATATTGCTTTTAATTCAGGAATGTTCAACGCTTTGTTCCATCAAAACAATGGACATCAGGGATTTATCTTGAATCATGTTACAAAGCTAAGCAGATGGATTTTTGGTTTACTTACTATGGGCCAAACGATGCAAACTCTTTGGGCTTGAGAGCACTTTGAACCCGGGTACAACAGTGTGAGGGGTGCAGTGAGCTTCAGCCCACTCAGGCCAAGGGATAAGTTGTGGTGCTTGACTAGGTTCTAGTTGCTGTGATTGCTCATTTTTCGGTTCTTGTGATAGATGAGGTTTTAGTTGCTGTGATTGCTCATTTTTCGGTTCTTGTGATAGATGAGGTTTTAGTTGCTGTGATTGAACATTTTCTAATTTTGGTAATTGGCCGCTCTCTGGAGCCGGAACGGAAGGGTTTTCACAGTATTGTTGGTATGCAGACCTCAGCGGTGCGAAATGCAGAGCTCTGTAATTGAGACAAAACGATCAGATTCTTAGGTGTTCACAAGCACGATTCGATTGTGAAATTGTAATCTTAAACCTACCCGCAGATTGCATAATCGATGAATGCTTGATATGTTCGTCGACTACAATATCACAATGAGTATCGTACAAGATAAGCACATTCATATAAGGAGGAAATTGCGTACGAGGTGCCATCGACATGGATAGTAGCTTTGAATCCACTGCTCTGTTGTCAAAGATCAGTTTCACTACTTCAAAAATCGATCAGAAAACTTGAATATTTGAACATAAGTACCTTGTCAGGTTCACTGTTGTCAGGTTCACTGTCCCATTCTTCATCGGAATCATTGCAGGGTAACTCTTCGGTAAGCATTTCTGCTTCGTCCCTTTTGCGCTTTGCTTTATCCAGACGTTGTGACTCAGAGTCTTCTGGCGAGTGACCTGGGTACGCCAACAATAAACCAGTCAGTCCAACTGGATAGGCATTTAGCACGAAGTGATTTGAAGTGGAAAGCTTTGCACTGACATTTCTGAAAGTACTCGAATCGTGTAAGTATACGGCTTGGGACATACAGATGTTTAAAAGTTTCGCCATGTTTCGAACGAAAGACTAATCGAGTCATATCAATTGAGGGCTCTTGAAAAGTTTCGAGCAATGTGTTGCGTGTTTGCAGCATCGCTTTCTTCAGATCATCTAGCTCGCGTCGAGTTTTATCAAACGTTGCCAAAGATATCTCTTGACGTGACCACTTTATTTTGAAGTAGAGTACATCCTGTATTCACAAGTGGTGTGGAAAGAATCAGCCTTCCATCTTCACCTGCACACGCAATGCATACCTCAAGACCATGAGAGCCTTTGAACCTTCCTAATATGTCCTTCACGCTGCCCACAGTGATAGTTTTCCACTCGGCTGGGTCGCTGTATGGCGTGATAGTAGCGTGATTAATGATATGGATTTGGTCATCGTACATGCCCAAGACAGTAAACTAGATGGGGCTCGCATTGAGTCAAAGTACCGATTGGTACAAAAGAACGATATGTCAACAAAAAAAACAAGCAATCTGGTGGTGGTAGAAGCTGCTCACCTCCCAAGACATGGTCCACTCGGCGTACATTTGGTACACCAAATCACTCAGATGCACCACCAGTTCTTCTACAACTACTTTTTCATCTTCCACCGGAGGCAATGGTCCCGTGGCGGATGGAATTGCCTCTGTTCTAGTCGTTCGTTTTTGGAACCGAAATTCGTGAGGACATCTTGTGGAATACACGTGGTCCGCTGGTGATCGACGTGGGTCATGTAGGCAATGTTGGTAATTGAGTCTTGTAAAAACCTCATCCGCAGGATTCTCGGTTCTCAAAAACCTGGTAGGTTTATTCAAGACTCCGCTGGTCTGCAAGATTTGGACAATGGGAAGAATGGGAAGCAGAGTTCAAGAGAGCGGTCGTGAGTTTCATTGCTCGAGTGATTTGAATATGTATCTACTCACTGTCACTGTACGCGTCTCCGGCAGAGCTGCCATGATTCAACCTGTTAAACGCGTCGTCGATTTGAGGAAGAAAAGAAAGAAAAGCTTGGAGAACTTTCCTCGAGGTTTCAGGTAACCTTTGGACGGACCGAGGATTCGGTACCGGGTACTTCTCTACCCACACATGAACCCTGACGTCGTTCATCAGACTTTCAAGAGCGTTCGTTTGGCTTACTCGAAAAGCATGATCCTTCTCATCAATTACACTGTTCTACCAGAACCTGGTACGGTGCCATATCCACATGCCACACTTGTCGAATCTGATTCAAAAGAAAGTCAAATAATCCATCTCAAACAGATTCCTACAAATACAGAAGATTTGCGGACTTCATCGATTGGTCAGGCCAACCTGATGGAATTTGGTTTCGAAGTTCTCTGGCAGACTCCCTCTGATATCTCATATGAGGAGTTTGGAACCATAATTGGCTCGGATGAGCGATTTGAAGTCACTAAACGCTATCGCACTACGACTTGCGAGTAGGCTGAGCTGATCAGATCTTTAGTTTACGTTGCCTTTAACTCGATTGCAAGTCTGATTCTTCTGATTTTTATACTTTTTCTTGGATCTGCAGCTTGCTCAAAACTCGCTTGGGTGCTGATAGAGTTGTGGCCTGGAACCATCATATCCGCCGCTCTGCTGTCACTCCCGAGACAGAACCAGATCATCCTAGCTCGACCCTTCCCGCCACTCGGGCTCATGTTGATCAATCCGACAATCGGGCCAGGGAAGCAATCAGCTCTGAGTTAGGCTTCAAGACCTCTGAAGAGCTCCAAGCTTGGGTATCCCGCGGTGGTCGAGCGACAATGATCAATCTCTGGAGACCATTAAAGGGTCCGGTACGATATGCTCCTCTGACGGTATGTGACGGTCGAAGTGTACGGCCTACAGAGCTTGTGAGGTGCAATGATTACTTTGGCGAGCATTTTTCCGTAGGATATCATGGTGCGCCTGAATTATTTATTGAGGATAAGTAGATAATATGATTCTTCCTTCATGGGATGTAAAGCTCATGATTATGCATCTCCACATCTCTTCTGGAATGGATAATGTCGATATGATTGTACCTCTTCGCGTCGTTCATCTTGGCTGAATTTAGAATCTCAACGGTGGTACTATATTTCAGATCAAATGCCATCAGAACCAATCTTAATCCTCTGCTACGACTCAGCTGTTGACCCAGTCTTGAATGCAAAGATAGATGAACTTCACCGAGCCAGCTGCTGTCCACATACTGCTGCGTTATCTCCAGAAAATACGGATGTAACTGATACTAGGGAGAGTATTGAAGTTAGGACTTATGCATTCTGGGATCCACCCACCCGATGATCAGTAGAATTCAATCCTGGAAGAGACCCGAAATCTTGTATACTATTTTTTATGTTACCGCTCTCTTGACCAACACTGCTTGTCAATCAACTGCGTCCTCTTGGCCTATGATCACTGCGACCACAAAGTTGAAAATCTGCATGGGCCTAGACATTACTTCAGTGCTGGCTGGCATCTATACTCCGCAAATTTAGCCACTTCTTAAACTAGCTTGGCACTGTAAAACTTCTTCTTGCCCAGTCAATGCAAAGATCAAATTCCTTTTGTCCATTTTATGCTGGCACCATTAAAGCCTGGTAAACTATGGGGGCTTCTTCAATACTAGAAAGACTGAGGCATCAAAATGCAAATCCTCGAGGTTTTAAGAGGGATGTTGAGACTGGCATATCAAGAGTGTTGCTTCTATATAGCTTTCTTACGCAATCAATCATCAATGTTGTCTCATTTCATACAATATCCAATGGACAGAGCACGACCGCACTTTGTCAAAAGAGGGACTTGCTCCTCAAGTCAATGGGATACAAACCAGATTGTTCTCAAATGATATATAAGTGTGTCAATGATCTCAAAATCTTGATTACGCTCTTGAAACCTCAAACATAGGTGAACCATAATGGGGTATATAAACCTTATAGCGATGTTTTGAAACAACATAAAAAATTCAAAAGAAAACAGTGTCATGTTTGGGTAAAAAGCTAAACCTGGAGCAAATTTTATCAATGTTATCACCTACTTCACCACTGGCATCATGTCTCACCACCATCAACACATATATCAATCTATCTTGCCATGCATCAGAAGAGTTTTGGAAAACCCTTGAATCTTTTGACACATCTGATGAAATTGTACAAGACACTGTGTGATATAACGAGATAGATAAGTTGAATCCATATAAGAGATAACAGATTAGAGATATAAATATATGTATAGCCAAAAGACAAGAAATATATGTTAATGAGATTATCACCACAAAGTTTGATATCAGGGAAAATAATCCAAATACACATTCAATCCTCCCAAGCAAAGAAGAATAGAACACCAAAGAAACACAAAACATCTTGATATGTTCTCAGAAGTTCAGTTTAGTATTACTCATCTTTTGACAGAGAAAGCTATATATATACATACTCATTTTTATCTTATTTTGCCAGGGCAGTCAATTTTGTCATCTTACTTCGTTTTATAAAAGTGGTTGATAGCGTGGAAATCAGAATTTTTCCTGCGTGCAATGAGTTACAGGCATTTCAAACATTGTAGGTCTAGAAGGAGCATTGCAATAATGGAATCATGATCCCTGTACCACACTTTCACTACCCGCCTTACTCAACCGCTCTTTCTCTTCAAAAAGCTCGAAAATTAGACCACCGGACTTTCAGAAGAAAAACAATGGGACTCGGGAGCCAAGTATACGGGACTTTACTGCTGATCCATGTACAAGAGTTATAGTAGTGAACCCCCCAGAAATCCTTTGGGAAATGTTATCAGTCTGAAGGCTATGAGTCACATGGTCAGTTAAATCTCCGGATCATTTTGAAATACGCTCAAGCGACGAGCGGAACAGGTTTCTTTCTGCAAAATATTCAACTCGACTCGCGTATAGTCTTTGTTTGTCTTGTTGAGTAAGTATAATTGATTATATCCTGCATTGTAGTCTTCTATCAACTCACTGAATATCTCTAAACGGTCATCAGCCATCCTTTTGCTGAGCTGAAATGTTTGTGACCTGATCTACAAAACTCGGATAAGAAATTTTCAGGTAAAAATATACACTCGATTAAGAACTGACTAAAGTTGAAAATGGTTATGCTCATTGCCTTCGCTGGGTTTGACTCTTGAGTTTTTCACTTTACCATGGTTCAACAGACCACTCACGAGCTCATAACTAAAAGATGGCGAGGAAGTTATTCAGGACAAAGTAGATAGGACTCCGTACCTGCTCAAGAATTTGATACCAAACTCATCCATGCGTTGAATTTCGTATGAAGCCAGAGATCCTTCGCTGGCAAGGTCTTCTGGAATAGATATAAATACTCAACCTTTTCGTCAGCACAAAACCTTTCCTAACCATCATTCCTTCAATATCATTTAATTGATTCTAAAAAATTCACTACTACTACCATTCTTACACTACTTCTTGAACCCATCATTCTCATCTTCTCTTGAATACCAATTCGAAACCCGCATACCTCTTAACTTTCTTTCCCCTCAACAATACTTCCCTACCATGCATTCTCAATCAACCCAACCAAGCCGCCGTTCACGACTCTTATCTGCACTAAAGTTATCAGATAAGCCAACTAAGGACTTGGGCATATCATCCTCAAATTTCAAAGTGAGCTTTCTTACTCTATTTTTCAAGTAATTATGATTATTGTACTGACTTTGAGGCTTCGAATTTAGCGTGCAAAAGCTTACGAGATGGCACATTCAAAACCGGTCGTGAAGCCTACACTGGTAAGCGTTGATGTCATTAGCTTTGCATTTACCGTTCCGTTATTGATCGTTAGAGCTCATCTCGGTCCTTTCAATTTTGTTCCTTTAACAGGACCCACAAGATCCACTGCTGATGGCTTTAGTTCGATCAGCCAACACTTCAACTTCTCAGCGCTACGCCAGCCAACGATCCGTAAGCGATTTTCTCATCAACCTTTTGAAATCTTACATCTTCTTCTGGTCTAATGAATATCCTTTCTTCACATAGACCAAAGTTCCTCTTCGTGTTCCGGCCGGATTCCCTGTTAATCAGAATTTCAGCCAAAGGATAATTGATACCTTTGATGATGTAAAGGAAGAGACGAACCTTGAGGAATCTACTTCAGATGACTCTGAGGATTCCATTTTGGTTTGTTAATGTTCCAATCCCGATTCTTCATGGACATCATCAGTTTTTCATTTGCTATTCAATTATTAATCATTGATCATTGAAGCTCATCACTGTTTTTTTCGTTTTGCTAATTAACAGGACCAATGTGATCCACTGTTGGTAGCTTTGGCTCGATCGGTCAGCAACTCAACATCTCGACGATACGCCTGTCAAAGATCAGTAAGTGATTTTCTCATCAACATCCTCTCGTATCTTCATCTGATCTGGCAAAACATACTTTCTTCACATAGACAAAGATACCTGTTCGTGTTCCAGCCGGGTTCCCCTTTAATAAGAACTTCAGTCAAAGGGTAGTTCACACATATGACGATGTGATGGAGAAGACAAACGGTCGTGAAGCTGGCCGCTATGAGGATGTCATTTTGGTTTGTTTAATGTTCAACTTGATTGATTCTTCTTCCTAAACGCACAACGGATAATCTTTCCAAATCGAATTATAGACTTACGTATACTTTTTCTTTAGGTTTCAAAACCTCAATCCAACATGGCTAACTGGCCACTTTCTACACCAGGACGAGTTCCACGAAAGGAAGGATACGCCCCAGCTAGCATAGTATCTTCGAGCCTGGTGACACCTCAGCTCACCATACCATCATCTTCTGCCACATCAAGTGTGGTTTCAGCTCTTGGCTCTTCTTTCACGACGCCATCAACCACTTCATCATCCTCAAGAAGAATCCAACTCTCGAGTAGGAACACTGCAAAGTGGTCGAGTAAAAATCCAACCAAGCCGATCAATACGCTTTATACGATTCATGAAGGTTTACTTTCTCCTTCAGATTTACCTTCTCCAGCACCGGTGAGGATCTACGGAGGTAAATCACATGTCGAGGTTATGGCTGGATTAGAATTCTTGAATAAGTTTTATGGTGAAATTTGATGGGTTTCAAGTCCATGAAAATCAATTGAACCTTGGTCAAACTTTTTGGTTGATGCTTTGATTTGTTTTCTTGACTACTATTTTCTTTAAAGTTTCTTTTTTTCTTTGTTGTTGTTGTAGTAGTTTTTCTATCACATCTAATTTTCCTAATGTCTTAAACTTATAATGATCAGTTTAGTTTTTATATTTCCTTTTTTCCTAATTCAATTTCATTTAAATATGTACCTCTTAATTAGTGAATCAAACCAAACCTTTATATCACCACTTTGTTTGAAATTCTGAAGATCCTCAGTTTAGTAGGATTTACTTAGAATAGCAATCAGATCATTTGATGAATAATCTAATAATATAACCTTTTTAAAGGATTATGTAACAGAAATCCAAGAATTTCTTGCTCAAGTTCAAGCTTTTTGAAAAGCTGGCATCTTGTATGGCTCAATGATTGTCCCAAAAAACTTCTCACTCAACTCACTCAATGAAGCAAAATGACTGTATGAAACATGATGGTTGGTAAGAATTTAGGTAAAGGAAAGGTCTAGAATGATTCTTAATAGAAGTACATCTGATCTTCAAATACGGTGATAAAACACACTTGAGAGAAATCTGAGCCTAGGATCTCAAATCCAGCTCCTCCTGTAGATTTTTTTTAACAAGGATTACTGTATTGATCAAGTGGAATATCTTCAAAGATTGAAATGACGCTCATCTTGACTCTTAATATGTAATTATGAGTCAAAAGATTTGATGAAGTTGCCATTTTTTGATCCCTTTCAAATTTAAACGAATTTTGAATCTACAACTTCAAACAAAAAATTCAATTTTACTATTCACACTTGTTTTCAAAAATCAAAATCATCATATTCACACTCTACACAATTTTTTTTATCAAACACTGAAATGCCCTCCAAAAAAATCCACACACAAAGAAAAAGAAACCTTCCTTTAATGACTGATTTTACAAAACAAAAAACAAAAATGGAAACAAAAATGAGATATAAAATATTTATCGACAATTGACCATTGATAAGTTTTTTTTTCTTATCGGTTTCTTGTTTTTGATCCTTTTCCATTTTGATCATTTTTACTTTTAATTTCTTTTAACATCATCACTAATGGTTCTTTAACGTTTTGTACCACAAATTGTTTCATCTTTTCACTAACTTGATTTATTTTATCATTATTATTATTATTAGACGATGATGATTTACTTGAAGTTTTCTTTTTTGAATTTGTTTTTGGAAAATTAAAAAAAGTATCTGAATTTGAATTTGAATTTGAATCAGAAGAAGTAGAAGCAGGTTGAGCAAAAGAAAAAACCGATTCAAAGAAACTCATTGGATCCAAAAGGTTCGGTAAACTTTGTAAGATGAACAATTTCAATGGATTTAATGTTGATGGATTTGATTTATAAAAATTAAGCCAGTTCCAATGATTTGAATCAGACCACCAAGATAAAGTTTGATTAGAATGATTTGAATGTTGATGACCAAACTGATTAGCAAATCCTAATAAGAACCATAATCCAACAATCAGAATACTCCATTTGATTCCAAACCAAACTAATCTTGCAGTGGCTTTGATGGTATGATAAATTGAAATCATAGATAAGTATAAAACAATCATTGAGATGATAAATGGTAAAAGTGTATTAGGATCTAAACTAGCATTGGCATAAACTTGTTGAAATTTCGGAAACACTATTCTTTCGAACGTTAAACCAAGAACGGAGATGACGGTGATCACTTGAATTGGAACATATGGTGATATGTATTCCACGAGTTTCGGTGTGAGCATTTCGTACGTAGAACTGATAAGTTATTGTAGACTGATTATTTGTGGATGAGATTCTAGAACCAGATTCAAGATAGGTCAACTTTATCAACTCAAAGTAATACTAAGCTCTTTTCAATAGATTATCTTACTTTAATTAATCGATGGTAATGTGAGATGGAATGAGTTGATCTGAGTTTGATGGAGGTAATGAATGTTGTTTAAGTAGAGGAGAATGCTGGATTATATTTTGAAAGAGACCATGAGGTGTGATGAAAGGACTCTTCGAGGATGACTGAGGATCCTTTGTAAAGTTCGAATTCTAAGGATTCGCACAGTTAAGTACCCTTTACAAGTTATTCGATCACATGACTCATTTCTACTGAGCTTTCAAGTTGAACTTTTCATTCTGTCTTACCCTTTCAACAAGTTCAAACATTCTCAACACTCAACAAACCCTCAGCTTAGATCAAAGAGAAAACATGAAGCTAGACGAAGCTGATCTCTTCTTAAACAGTCTTGCTGATCTAATAACACCAAACAGGTATGTAAACATCCCTCTAAACAAAAACAAAACAAACCTATGTGTAGAATTGAGATTATCTGATGTTTCCATGATATTGTTTGCAATTCAGAGCAATCTCTCAATTAGAAACCGCTCAAATCGAAATCAAAGACCACAAATCAAAATTAATATTCTTACAAGATGCTTATCAGCTTTCAATAGATTCAATTCCAAACATTTCAAATCCAGATCCTAATTATTCAAGACTTTTATATGAAGTTACTCAAACTATTGATTCATATGAACGTCGATTAATTCAACTTGAATTAGTTTATGAGATGAAAAAACGTTATGCAGTTGAAGTTTTAAAAGCTCAAATTTAAAATCATTTCGGTTTCTTCATTCGGATTTGATCATTCAAGATCGTTAAGTTTGGGTACTGAAGAAAATTTATGTAGCTTATTCCAGGACTGGACGTGTAATCAATGTATTCTTTGTTGGGGGAAAAGTTATCAGGGAACCATGTGTGACTATTTGAGGCATACAAAGCCAAACTAAACCTTTTGATGTCCTAGTTAGCCTTCAAGCCCAACCAACTTGTAACCAATTTGTTTGACAATACTCGTTCACCTCAGTCTCAAAAATAGTCAATCTAAACACTTCTTGATTCTTTTGTACAAAACGTAGAGAAGTAGAAATGTCATTGGAGAGCAACAATTGTATCACCCAAACGGGCGTCTGATTAGCTGTGTGTGATCATAGTCAGACAAATGAGATGAGAAAGGTAAAAAGCTAGATAGAGATGCATGATGTGAATAGATTAGATTAAGACCTTAAGTTAGGAAACTATCTATACGAGGTTCTAAAATTGATTGCTTGAGATCATTTGAGTTCACCAGCTTTTCCAGATACCAAGAGTCCAACTGAAAAAAAACAAAGTAAACAGTCAGTATATTTTTAAACTGAAGACGAAAGATATCGAATACTCAACTAATCAATCCAAATAATCCCAAGATAGAACTAAAGACTTCAATGACCAAAATCTTGACAAACAAACTAGGATCTGAAGCATCAGCTAAAGCAGCATTCGAACCTGAGATCCCTACACCAATTCCACATAACAAATTACAAAATCCCATAATCAAACCTCCCCAAAATAAAGAATAGCCTGTGAAATAGTTTTCTCTAGTATAAAGACCTTCAGGAGATGAGAATGATCCGATCTTGGATGAGAAGACGATAGCTTTAGATAGAAAAAAAGATTAGAAGGAAGGTTTAGTGATACGGTTTGGTAATTCTTATTTTAGAATATGATGAGAAGACGAACCTCCAATGACTCCATAAATCCCTACTACTTCACAGAAGATGATACTGATCAAATTTTTGGTTCGGATCCTAGGTGTTCTTACTCCTCCTCCTAGGATAGATGTACCCGTTGTTAGAATTCCCCTGCATACCAAAAAAAAATCCAAATGAGCATCATTTCGATCATCTGGAGTTATAAGGATATAACATCTTGTGATCAAACTTACCAACCAGCACCAATCACACTCAATCCAATGTTTAATGCAATACCCATAAGAGCCCAGACATGAGGTGAAGTTTCTTCCAAGAAAGCTAAACCCAATCATCGATCACGAAAAGAAAAAACAGCTCACGTCAGAATTCAGAAACCCAAAAGGAATAGATCATATAGTTTCATGGATCATGGATCATAATTGGATTTTAAAAACCAACCGGAATGAACTAACCACCAACATTAAAACTATCACCTGAATTGGTAAATACCAAATAAAGTGAAACAGTCGTTAAAGTTAAAGCTGAGGCCGATGTAGCTGCATAACCAAGATAACCCATTCCAAAAGACCTTGAAGTTGAGGTTTCCAAAACGAACGTCTTTTGATCGATGATGACAACACCGGTGGTTTGCTTTGAAGGTTGGGAAGAGTTGTGATGTTGGTTGTTGGATTTGATTAGATAATTCTGGAGAAGACTTGGTTGGTGTGAACTCGAAACAACTTGGATTTCAAGTTAAGCTTCGAGCTTCGAATCCAGTCACATATCTGTCACATGCAGTTCACACATTGGTGAAACCCATCGGTGCTCAATAGATTTTTGCCTGTGTGACAGACTACAGTGAGCATCCGTGTGGTCGGCGCCAGCCTCAGTGCGACAGAGGGAGGTGCACGCATGCGCACTCTGAGGACTACATATCAATGATGTCATACATGATCAGACATGCTCATTTCTATTTTTGACACCACCATTGCAAATATGTAAGTTGAACAACTTTGAGGTGGGTGTGTTTGCAGGCATGGCAACACCTAAATCGCTGAACCAAGCCATGGAATCTGGCCAAATTTCATAGCGTATTGGAGCCTGCACTATCTGTTCAAGAAAGGCTCTCTCTAGATATTGCAGCGGAAAAACCGTTGCAATATCGTCATTATAGCGCGCTGTATCACGTAGTGCGCTATACAGCGCACCATGATGTTGGTTAAAAGCCAGTAAAGATGATTTCATTTCAGTCCTTGTATCCATGCATATAGCGCTGGGTAAGGTAGAAGAGTGGAGTGTGATTCACTATAGAGATTATAGAAACCATGTGGAAGAGGAAAACAAAAGCAAAAAAACAAAAAGGGCAGAGGGGATATGAAAATGAACCCCAAAAAAAGAGAATACTGGATTTATATGAAAGGTGTGAGAGAAGATACTCTATAGTCCTTTTTTACCATCTTTCCTATATAGGATTGAAGGGCTCTTTCTGCTGCTTTGAGTGCACCATTTGGAATAATTACCTCCTTGATCAACCAAACAGTCCATTGTCTTGGGGAGAAGACACTCACGTGATGGGTACAGTCATTGGCAACAGCCACAAGAGTACGCTCACATGCACATGACATGACATCAATCAATTAGTACACAATTGACAACTTGAGCTTAGAGCACTTGCCTGACATTTGAAGTAAATGCTGATTCATGTAATGTATGCATGTATCCCAATATATATATTGACCCTTATTAATTTATCAGTTCCTTGATGAAATTATGCATAGAAGTTTCCAAAGGAATTCTTTTGAGATAAAAATTTATTTGTGTGTTGCTTGACTTGCAAGCAATCTTCCTCACTGGAAGAAAAACTTGTGTGATGAATATGCCTCTACAGTGGTTGCACATGTTTCTAAAAATAAAATCTTGACAACATCACATTCCCTGTAGTTGCTACAGACTATCCATTGTTCAGAGTGAGAAGTCAGGGTCCATGATTCAGTAACAATTGTATTACATTTGTGAGAAAGGTTGACCGCTTGAGGAAGTCTACAGGCCCAGATTTGCTGTGCAGTGCCGCCGCAGCAAGCTGTGAAACCTCACTTCCACCACCAACAGTTACTTTTGCTAAAAAGCTTGGCCCAATCAAGAAAAAATAAAACAAAATCAGACCCAGATTTTGCCGCAGCAGTCACAACGCAGCAGAGAGAAAGATTTTGGGGGTGCTGTCTGGTCCTGTTGGCTCTGGTGTGACCTTCCTACCATTCCGCTGATCCATCACCCATCTCGATTCTCTAGGCTCTAGTTCCCCATCACCTTGACCTCTTTCTTTGCACACTCTTGCAAGATGAGGTTGTCAAACTCTTGGTAAGTTGCTTTAAGTTTACATTAAAATATATCTCTTCTTTATTATCTATTGGTGTGCTTTCTAACAAACTTTTCATATTGTTCAATTCAGATGACCATCCTCACAACACAGTCTGATATCCGTGATCGTCTCGCCTAGCTTTGTCTCACCATCACCTCACCAGCTCTTTCTTCCCACACTCTTTCAAGAAGGTTTTGAATTGTCGGATTGATCATAACAAGCATTTGTTGACAAATCAAAAAAAGAAATGATGTTGGAGCTTTTACGGAGCTCACAACTGCTGTGCTAATGTGAGAGAAAAGGCAAGTTGAATGAAATGTATCCTACATTTCCTCAACTTGTCTGGTGCCGAGCTATGCTGAATAACAATTGGATATTTCATGAAAGATATCTCAAATGTGAGTGACTTTTCAAGGTAAGCAAGATCGTCAGAAACATGGACTGGTTATGACCAATATCAAAACCAATCAATTCCTGATTGATTCTCCTACGAGGCAATCCTATGATCCCGACTTGAGAACAATCTCAGATCTCTTATGAAATAAAACCTAAGATATCATCGGGTTTGAAGTCAAGATTGAAAACGATCTCATTTTTTGAAGACATCCAAAATCCAAGAATTGATTGATTTTGCTTGGTCAAAACCAATCAACCTTCCTACGCTCCCACAGAAAAGATTGTGAACAATCTCAGCTCTCTTGTGTAATCTAGAGACTGATTTCACGGACAAGATCAAGATCGATTGATTTGCTTGTGATCCTATGAGGAAGATTGAAACGATTTCAGTTTCACACCAATCTTATCTATAATTCCTATGTGATGACAATCTTCTCTAACTACAATTCATCTAATATAAAAAAACAAGCTCCCCTTCAAATATCTGATAACCACAATGATGGTACAAAATTCTGTTCGACTGGATTTGACCTCGTACCTAAAATTTGTGATCTCCAGACAACAAACTTTGACACATTAAATCCAAACTCGATAAGGTTCAACTTGGGACAGTATGGTGGTAGGTATTGTAGAAGGATACCTAGAAATGATATTAGGGATCATCAGTAAGTTCAATTAATTGCACTGAAGAGACAAATGGGAGGAATTGAAGCAAAAAAAGTGTATTTCCTACAGATCAGCAATGGGTTGGCCACAATTGATAGACACGTTTCCAGGATGCGAGAAGCAACAAGCGACTGAGCTGAGTTTAGTGATGCTAACAAAGTAATCGACAGGGACAGGGATTTGAAGGATATGACTGGGAGCTCGCACCAGAGCCAACAGCACCCCCAAAATTTTTCTCTCTGCTGCGTTGTGACCGCTGCGGCGAAATCTGGGTCTAATTCTGTTTTATTTTTTCTCAATCGGGCCAAGCTTTTTAGCAAAAGTAATAAATTCCCCACCACTTCCTCTTTCTGACCCCACATCCAATCCTCATCAATCTTGCATCTCATCCCATCTCAGGATTATGAAGCTTTTCTCAACCTCAATTTTATCAAGAACTATCACATTGTTTGATTTGAAATTGTTAGAAACAAATTCAATATTTGTTTCTCATACAATCCAAATCCAAATTAAATTAACTCAAATCAGAGAAATGCACCTGGAAGCTCAATTTGGAATGAGAAGGTGTAGTAGCATGATGGGAAGGATTTAGAAACATTGTTCCAAACAACTTCTCAGTGTCCCGCCAATTTGAAGAACCAAATCCAAATTTTGTTTCCTTAGGCTCGGTGAACCAATTTTGAAGTCTTGAAGGATCATGTGTTGGGAGATCACTCTTGGACCGTTTAGTTGGTTGAAAAGTTGGAAGTTGACAAGGTTTTCTCATAGAAGAAGTGGAGTTTGGATAAGATGAATGACCGTAGTGATCTTCAAACTGACTGTATGAATCACCGGACATTCCAAGTAAAGTTTGATAATGATCTGTTATCAAACCTGACCATGGTCTGTCATTGTAGAGCACAACTGGTGCAAGCAACTGATGTGATTCTTTGGGATCTGTATAATGCTCCTCTGGAAAAACATAAGGTAAGATAGAACAGTGAACATACATGTTTTCTGCCTTTGCTTCCTTGTCCCTTTAATTGCACAAGGAGTGTTTGATGGGAGCAGATGGGAGCATGTTTTATGTCTCGGATTCAATAAGTGGAAGGAAGTGGTGGGAAATTGAACCATTGGTGGTGGAAGTGAGGTTTCACAGCTTACTGTGGTGGCACTGCGCAGAAGATCTGGGCCTGTAGACTTCCTTGAGTGGTCAACCTTTCTTGCAAATGTAATATATGTTTGTACATTAATTCCCCTGTTGTTGGCATGCCTGCATGTTCTCCAGTGCAAGACAAGTCAAACTTTGAACTTAACTAAGTCCCTCTGTAGCCAGACACTTTTTCCTTGCAAGCTTGGGTGTCTGGAGAGTGACTTAGGAATTATCAGCTCTCTTTGGTGTGTTTCAAAATTGAAGTTTGGCTGGGAGGTTTTTGAAAATTGCAAAAACTCTCACTTCATCTCAATAAGGACCAAGTGCCCATTTTAACTGGAGCTGCTTGTGACTACTGCCTTCAGATCTGTCTATTCAGATTTCTTGTATCTCACTCTGAGCTCTCTGTAGAAAGAAAGAAAGATTTTGAAATTTGAAATTTGGTGATTGTATCTTGAAAACAAAATTTACAAAGGATCTGAATAATGCATTCTTCTTTTGTTAAGATACTATCTTGGTGTAAGTGGTCAAAGATCATTTTCCTGTTAAGGTAAATGGTGGTTTGTGTAGAAGGTTGTTACAGTTGGGAAGCGGGTGCAAGTATGGTGATTCTTGGCAGGTAATCTGTTGGCGAGCAAAGGGGCTAATGCATGAGAAATGAATCAAGGGTTACTGGTGAAATTCTTTTGGGGTTTTCTGTTCTCTTTGTAATTTCTTTTCTCCCTCTTTTCTGATTCTTTTCGTGTCGAAAAGAATCAGTGAGTTTTTCATTTGTACTTCAGATTGAGATCATTCTTGTTACTAACATCGCTACTTCAATCTTAGAAACTGTTTTCAATTTTTCTGTTCTTTTACAAATCATCTTATGCGCGCTCTTTCTTTATTTCGAGCGAGCAGGTAGAGAAATCTTTTCTTTGCTTATCAACTTGTTTCTTCTCATAACCTTTTTTCTGATTATCTCTTTCATCTTGTTTTTGTTTTCCTGCTGTGGATAGGTTAGTCTTGTTCTTGTCGTTGACTAGCAGATACGCTAGTTCAGTCTAATGCAGAACCTGTGCCCTCAGGTGTGTGTCGAAAAGAATCAAAACTGTTTTCAATTTTTCTGTTCTTTTACAAATCATCTTACGTGCGCTCTTTCTTTATTTCGAGCGAGCAGGTTAGTCTTGTTCTTGTCGTTGACTAGCAGATACGCTTCAGTCTAACACAGAACCTGTGCCCTCAGTGTTCCTTTCTTCACTGTAGCGTTTTCTAGCGAAGAAGTCATCTCGAGATTCTTATTAGGATCCTGAGACTCATTTTCAACAAGAACTTTATATCTTTCTCTTCCAAGATGATCAAGATGGATGAACTTTGTTCAAAAGCCAGACTTGTTCATCTTGATGTCCTGCAGATTTTGTTCTCCTCAGAAATTGTGTATTTCATCAACTACCAAAGATGCAAGACTATAGAAGAGCAGGGCCTCTTGCATCCCTGTCAACACACCAAAAACAGCTGATAATTTGTAAGTCCCTCTGCAGAGCACTGAGCTTGCAAAGGTAAGAAAACCCCTTTGTGATCCACAGGTACCTCTACCAGTGGGACCAGCGGGGGCCAGTTAATCAGGAGCTTTGTCAATAAGCACTGTAGTACTTCCCCTACTTATTACCCTCATCAAATGCCTCTAGAATCTAGATGGTTTAAAAGTAGAACACCTGTGGATTCAGAGAAATTTTGGTCTACATGCCAACTCACAGGTCTTCCTAAGGCCTTGAAGCACACCAAATGTCTTATTATGAGAGTGTACATACACCAAAAATTACTCATGACTTTGTAAATACTTGCCTGTCTTTATCTCATTCTCTAGTAATCTACAGTTTCCTCCAAGTGGTTTATGTAATCACACCATTTCTTGAGTGGTACCTGGGCAAAACTGCATTTGCCTTTGATTGACCATTTTGAATATTTATGATGAATCAATTCAAATCTTTCAGTAGATCAAAACACTTCATGCAGGTATTCCTGATTATTTTCTGCTTGGACAAATTGTAACCAATAGAAAAACAGTTGAAGTGATTGATCAATGGTTGAAGTTATACATAGAAAGTAATGTGGTACCATGTTTTGGTACTGGTCAAACCCAAGGGTAGCAAATCCTAGGTGTGGTAACTTGTACACACATTTAGATGAAGTTCAGCAAATCTCCTTTCTGTTAACATGATATTGTTCTGATGTTACCTAATCATAGATAATACCCATTGGACTGGGAGCTATAACAATTGGATCAGCAGAAAGATAATCAGAACCAGAAAAATCTCTTATGGTAAAAAGGTATTGATTTTCAATTCCATCACAAATCCATGTTGTGATAACTCAGTCCTAAGTTTTGCAATGGAAGATAACAGTTTCAAGAAGGTGTTGGAAAAATCTATTTATTTGTATTTTAATTAGTACAATAGTTGTTCAATATCCAGACAGAAGGAATGTAATCAAGACTGATCAGAAAACGGCATGTGTTCATAAACTTCTCTGTTGGAATTGATTGAAGTTCTGTTTCCTGTTCCATGTTCACTTGACTACTTTGGTCTAGTTAGGATTGTTGTCAGAATTTTTAACTGTTTTATCTTTTCACTGGTTATTCTTATATGACTGTCCCCTCTCAAGCTCTGGTTTTTTTCTTCAACGTTAGGAATGTGAAAGCTCAGAGTATATCACATTCATCCTCATCTCCTTTGTGATCCTGGACCTAGCTCACTCATATATGTAGCACACTTCTTTTTCCTCTTGCACTTCTTCAGGTAAGTCATCTCTGCTGTCCTTGCACTGTCAAATTTCATTAGAGCTCACATATTCACCTGTCTGTCCAGGTACTTAACTTTGCTTTGATTTGTGTTGATACTTGATTCCCATCAAACTCTTTCAAACCCTGGATTGAAGGAAGTGCTCTCCACCTACCGGCAGGCGTCATGATCCAGTAAGACACACTATGCAGTCAGTTTCACCCACATGCCAATGGAAGACAGGTGGTCCACACAAAAAAGCATGCCTTGTCTGCGGGCTCACATAAGACAAGTCAATTCTCCCTGTGGTGTGTGTTTGATACAGTGTGATCCATACTGTTGAATTTTGTTGCTTGAGTAGTCTTTCAAAAGAAAAAAGTCACTGTACAAAAAATGAGAGGGATCCAGACATGATGAACAACAGTGGAGTATACAGTTCAACCCAATCAACCCATATTTGATGGAAGGACTGGGTCCATCTAAACTTCATTGACACACCCAGGTCAGACATGGATTGGTATAGAACACAGAAAACATTGGTATCGAAGATGCTGCTCAGTAAAGAAAGATGAACAGGTGTTCTGATGGTATCATTTGTTTGTATTTGTTTAGAATTAAAGAGTTAGACGAGACTTTGGGCATTATTTGAAAGAAGACTATGTAAAATACAAAATATGGCACTTTGGTCATAGTTCTGATCAGCCGTCTATCTGATGTGAATGAAGCAGAGTCAAGAATCTACGCACAGGTTTCCCAAAATTGAAAGTACACTATTCAAACCCTACGATTTTACAAGAATTAACAAATGAGGATTAAAACCACTTAGAAATCTGATTTTGAAAAAGTGATGACTTACGATTCGAATGACAAGCCAATACTGTGGATCATACAAGAAAGTGTGAAGTCCACCAACACACAACTGAGATATAAATGACAATATGAAAGAAAGGTCTTGAGAGCCAGTTCAAAAACATAGATATACATATATTATTGAGATCTCAACACTTACCTCATAACTCGTCATGATCACAAGGAAGGTCATTATGGAGAATTCTAGAAAAGTGTTCATCAAGACTGCTATTTTCTGTCTTCTTAGTGAATCACTCAAGGTAATACCTCTTGCCAAGCCTTGATATATGAAGAATAGAAATGGAGGATACAACTAAGCAACACAAATATGATAAGCCTTGAGACATAAATATTTTATATGAAATTGAGAGCTTACCAGTAAGATGAAGCAGCTAAACGCTAGGTAGTACGCGAGTCCCATCTGAAAGTAATGCACTACTAGATCCTAAGATGACAAAAGTTTGAAGTGAAGAGCATGTAGGTTTCTGTTTCAAATCATTTGGCTGATTATTAAGGAACAACAAACAATGTGGCCTAGCGATCCCCGGAGTGGCAGGATGACAGGTATCATTTTGGTCACGCTGCACGTTTCTCGGTAGCAGGAGGTCTTCCGTAGGATGTGAAGGATCGGTGTTACGGCGTTTCTGATTTGGATGTATTCCATGGTAAGCTGATAGAAGGAGATACAGATAGGTACTGAAATCGGAGTCTCTGTGAGTTTCTATGAATTTGCCACAATGCGAGACATATAAGCTGACCAGTTGGTACGGTAAGCATCACCACTAAGAACCCATTCATTAATCGGATCACAGCAGTTGGTATGGTCTTCCCGGCCTCATCCAATGTGATGTCAGAGTATTTGGTGAGTGCAACGTGACTTATGCATAGCCATAAAATGACTGATTCAGCGTGGGTTAGTACATAAAGGGGAGCGATTCAGCTATTGACGAAGGAAGGGCTTATATGGCACCAAAGTACCCACCGCTTCAAAAGATGCTTAACGAGTCAGTTTTTTATATATAGAAAGACAATTTTTGATATATGCTCACCTAGCACAAATGACGGTTATCGTACACTTGACAGCGAGCAAGAAATTTGGCCAAGCTTGGTCTAGGTCACCAATTCGTACCAGATCTTCACAAATTACATCAGCAATTGCAGCTTGTGGGGGCAAGGAGGCAACACGTCAGTCAATTTGATCGGAGCAGACCAAATATTATGGAGACTCACTAAGACTATAAAATAAGTAACACA